GAGAGAGAGAGAGAGAGAGAGAGAGAGAGAGAAGGATGATGATGTGAGGGCACGTACCTGGTCTTGGGGATAGTCTACAAGGGTCGACATCTTCATGTACTTCGGTTCTGCTGCTGACATCAACAGTTGCATTGTCAATTCGTAGGCTGGTAGTAGCTGTGTGATAGTAGACTGGGCGCTGAGCACCAAGTAGGAGAAGGGATCTGGATACATATGTTGGTGATGGCGAGAGTATGCTCTGATTGACACTCGGATTCGGTGTTTGGTTCTCCATTGGTGTAATATCACATTATATCAGTGCAATTCTGCTTTCTGGACAGTGTTGGACTTCCTGGCTTTCAATGTGATTTTGCAATCTGGAATCCGTCATTTCACTATTGCTCATTTTCCTTGCACAAGAAATTCCGGGAAAAACAAGAAATTCCGGGAAAAACTATGTTGTGTAGAATTGCAGTACAAACAACTTTTGGCTGAGGGTCACATTATAATTCCCCATGGAATCAGAGATAAAAAAGAAAATAGCAGAATCGCACTAAGGCACCCCCCTTTAAGCCCCTTGTTACATACTGGATTCCACATGGGCCCTGTTAGGCCCGACGGCTAGGTCTAGGGGGTTGTCCCCGACCGTGGCCACGCTGGGTCAGTCCAGCCTGGGCTAAGGGTCGGACCGGTTGCTAGAGGCAGACCCGGGTCTGCAGCTGCAGGCCCTAAGCGGGAAACCGGCCCAAACGCTTTTCGCTTGGGCCTGGCGGCTGAAGCTTGAGGCTGCCACTTCCCCGCAGGTCCGATCTGAATCGCAGATCGATTTGACGGCTCAGATCACAGCGCGGCTTCACCAGCAGCCAGGACGAACAGGCCACCGCCGGTACTTAGTACCGGCCAGCGGTCTGTTCTGGAGACTTTGAGGCCGTGGCATTGAGGAGCAGCAGTGCTGCGCTATTTTGGGTTTAGCGCAGCTCCAGGCAATCGCGCTAGATGTAGTGCTAGTTGCAGAGGCGCGCGAGAGAGAGAGGGACTTACCTGCACCTACTGGTGAGCGCCATAACTCCAGCAGCAAGGACGGGTCTTCAGCAGCTCCAAGGCGGAATCTGCGCCAGCAGGTTAGTGCCTGGGCACTGGATCAAGGCAGTGAGGATCTTCCTCCTCCCCACCTCTTCATCTCCACCTCCTCTGCCCCTCTAGGTTCATCTTCTTCTTCTTCTTCTTCTTCTTCTTCTTCATCATCTTCTTCTGACCTTCTACCTTCTTGGTTACTATCTGGACAGAGATCGATGGTGGGTTATCGGTGACACGAGGACTGAGACTATTTCGGACTAAGACATTGAGAAGGACTATTTTGAGAGATCTGACATCAGCGGCATTTCGAGATTTTATATCTTCGACATTCGGGATTTCTATTTCGGTGACATTGGTGTCGGCGCCATCTCTCCTCCTCTCTTCGTCTCTTCCCCCTACTTGTCGTCTGTATGACTTGTACAGGCCCTGGCGCTCTCTTCCATGTTTGGAACACCAGGCCTCCCACCTGATGAATGTATGCTGTCTCTTATACACATCTAGATGTGTATAAGAGACAGATCATGCCAAGGCACTGGAGTTGGCCGAGGTTCT